GTAGCAACTGAGCCAGGTTTGGTGGCACATGCCTGTAACCCCAGGCTTTGTAGAGGCAGGAGGATCAGAAATTCAAGGCCATCCTCTGCTGCACAGTAAATTTTAGGCCAGCTTGGGATAATGGAACTTTCTCCCGGGAAACAATAGTGTTCATTTTAAGAAGAGTCATCAATCATGTTCTTTCTTATTTCTCTTCCTTTCTTTTCTTTTTCTTTTTCAAGACAAGGTTTCTCTGTATAGTCCTGTCTGTCCTGGAGCTCACGCTGTAGTCCAGGCTGGTCTTGAACTCACAGAGCTCTGTCTGCCTCCCTAGTGCTGGGATTAAAGGTGTGTGCCGCCACCACCAAGCATTGATCATGTTCTTGATGTCAAGCTGCATCCAGGACTTACAAAAACATGCTGCATGGGTGGAACAGAGACACATGCTATCTACTCGGGATGTCTGATGCCTTAGCTGGACTTCCCTAGGAACTGCCTTGAGTATCAATCATGGAGATTTTCAGTTGCTTCTTTGTGGAGTTTTACTTTTAAAATTAATTTTATTTATTTATTTTTGATTGTTCTGAGACAGTGTCTTACGTAGTCTTGCCTCAAACTCAAACAATGTCCAAAGAGGACCTTGAACTACTGATTCTGTTTCCACCTCCCAAATGCAAGGATACTGGGCATGTGCTACCCCACCCAGTGTCTGTTCCTTTGTCCTGAGAGCCCTGACTGCTTTAAGAATCCCTCCATTTCAACAGCTCCAACTGCTCAACAGGGTGGCTGACATCTAGCTGGGACCTTTGGTAGAGTCTGGGGTCTCTACTGCCAAATAAAAGCCAAGAGCCTCACTGGTCAGGTCTCTTGGCCCCTCCTATCCCTACAGGCTATGACCTCGCGGGAAGAACTGCACACACAGTGTGCCCAGAGCTTTCAGGAGAAAGACGCGCTGCGAAAGCAGGTTCGAGAGCTGGGCGAGAAGGCGGACGAGCTGCAGCTGCAGCTGTTCCAGAGCGAGGGCCGGTTACTGGCTGCCGAGGTCAGGCTCAGGCAGCAACAGATGGACATGCTCATCCTGGTAGGTCCTGCGTCTGCTCTGCCTGGGGTGGTCTGAGCAGTGAGGGAGCTGGGGAGGACCCGTGCTCGGTGCAAGACTCCAGGAGGGATCATCGGCCTAGGGGCATCCCCAATCCTAGCCTGGCATGGCTGGTGCCCTACTTGTGGCTTCCAAAAATGCCTGGGCCTTCCTGAGTCCCTTTTCCTCTTTGGAGCTCATGCTGGAACGACAGACATAGATGTATGTAACTCAAGGTCCAATTAGCACGCAGGGCTGACCCAGGCGTAACCTCCAGGTGGCTTGGTGGGGTAGTGTTAAAGAAAGGCAGACGTTCTGGGTCAGGGTCCTGAAGAGGTTGCTGGCATGACTCGGATACACTCAGGGCCTCCCTAGAGGATGGGGCTGGGATGGGGCCCTCCCTATGCCCTGCTCACCCCATGTCCAGGTGCTTAGAACCCCTGAAGCCCACTGACCCATTCCCTTTTCTGTGGCCTCAGAGCTCTGACTTGGAGGATACTTCACCCAGGAACTCCCAGGAAGTGAGTGCAATCCAACGGGCGGGCACAGAGTGGGCCTCTCCCTGGCCTCCGACCTCCCTCCGACCCCACACTCATCTCCCACGTGGTCCTGTTCACCCGAACTGGACTGTCCCTTCTCTCCCATTTTGGGCAGTCCAATGCTCACACCCTGGCCTCTTAGGACAGGAACTTCATGCTAGGGTTCCCTTTACCTGTCGGCCCGACTGGGACTGAGCCCCCAAAGACCTCTGTGCGGAGGGGTGACAGTGATCAAGTGGGCAGTGGGGTAGGTCACATCTAGTCCTGGAAGAGCAATGGTGGCTTGTAGCATGGATGGCCTAACTGGGTGGCACTGTTTCTGTCTGGAAGCTCTCCCTGCCTCAGGACCTGGAGGAGGATTCCCAGCTCTCAGACAAAGGTGAGCAGGTGGGGGTACCATGCACCGCCAGACCCTCCCTTAGCCCAGAGGCGCATGGGCTATACTCTCCTGGGCCTCCCAGAACCCTGGCCCATCCTCAGCACACAAAGCTGTGTGACTTACTCTGTCTCAGTAGTCACACCACTGCAAGGACAGAGAAACTGAGGCAGGGAGTGGCAGCGGTGAAGGGCTAACTGGTTAGGCTAACACAGGCGGAGAATAAGGAATCTGATTTGAACCTGGGGCTCAGGTCTCAGGGTCTGTGGTTCAGACGGCAGTGAGTGTGGAGCCCCCATCTTGCCTAGGCCCATCTTTCCCTACCAGCCTTCCCCCTGCAGAGGGATTGAATAACCAGTATCCAGGTGTTCTCAATGAGGAGGTAAGGAATGGCACTATAGATAGAGCAGCAAGCAAGGAGATGGGGTGTATGCTAGTCACAGTAGCAGGCTGCTGGACAGGACCCTCCTCTGGTCTGATGGTTGGCTCATTAGTCCTGGAGATGGCAATTGGGGGAGCTGATGAGAACAGAGTGTTCTGAAGTAGCTGGAGATGGGAGGTGGCGGGGGGGGAGGTGTCTGGTGCAGGAAGGAGCCCTGAGAGCTTCCTTGAGAAGTCAAATAGACTTCCTCAGCTCAGCCTCAGCCCAGGCTCTCACCAGAGGCAAAAGGGGAACAAGTGGTGCGGATGGAGAAGTGTGGAGGTGGGTCACCCACTGCAGCCCCCAAGACCCAACTTTAGGCCACTGAGCTCCATGTGGGCACAAAAGGAGGAGAACCCAAGAATAGCCAGCTCCCTGCAAGGCATGCCAGGGGTTAGACACCATGAAAATGAGAGGGGAAGGAGGAGGGTCTGCTGGTTGCTCTCACATCCTGAGTCCTCCTTGGATATAACTGTTTCTTGATGTTCATAGCCCTCTCTGGACACCTGCCTGAAAGCCAGGACCTTGGGCATGCTGGGTTGGCCACCTAGTCTGGTCTAACTAATATAGTGTACTTGCTCTCACCTCCAGAAGTCCTGAGCTCTCCACTGAGGCTGCTCCCACCCCACCCATGGGAACCACTAAACACATAAATGTTGCCAAGCCAACAGGGACATGGCCTAGGACATGCATGAGCAAACTATCCTGGGGACCGGGAGTCTTTCCTACCCATCCATCCTTGTATGTTTGGTGACAGTCAGCTTGGAAGGTTGGGTGGGTGATGGTAGGAGCCCTGTTGAGAGCTCCTGGCAGCCTAGGGCTGGCTCGGCCTGTCTGGAAAATGCAGTCTTCACTGGCCTGGGCTAGTGCTAGCTGGATTGTTAGCAGAGGGAGGTAGTGGCCATGCCGGATGGGCACCCCACAAGCACAGCTCTTCCTTTCAGGTGTCCTGGCAGACAGAGAGAGCCCAGAGCAGCCCTTTGTGGCTCAGAGCAAGGAGCCGCTTTCACAAACCCATGTAAGGCTGACTGGGACCCCCAGAGTCCTGGTGACTCGATGGCTGATCTTGGGGAAGAAGGTGACTCTGCCTGTACCCCCAAACAGCTTCAGATCACAAGGTCTTTGCAGTGCATGCATGGGGTGTAACATTTGGGTAGTGTTTGGTACATGAAGTGGAGGCCCTCTTCGTGGACAGAACCCTAGATGATGTGGGGTTCTTGGATGGGGCGGGGCAATAACAAAAGGGCACTCCTACAGGGGAGGACATGTAACAGACTTTCTCAGAGTTGCCAACCAGCTCCAAATGACACGGAAACTTATTATTAGTTATGATGCTCGGCCTTATCTTATGTTTGTCCCACTAGCTCTTATAATTTAATTTAGCCTGTTTCTCTTCATCTACATTTTGCCTTGGGGCTTTTTTTTTTTTTAAAGATTTATTTATTTAGTATAAGGTGTTCGGCCTGCATGTGTACCTGTACCCCAGAAGAGGGCACCAGATCTCATTATAGATGGTTGTGAGCCACCATGTGGTTGCTGGGAATTGAAGGACCTGTGGAAGAACAGCCAGTGCTCTTAACCTCTGAGCCATCTCTCCAGCCCCTTGCCTCGGAGCTTTTAACTTTTCATTTTGTATGTCCTATTTTTCCTGCTTCCTCTGTGTCTGTCTGTCTGGCAGCTGCCTGACTGTCTGTCTTTCTCCCTCACTCTGTTCTCTCTCAAGTCTAGATTCCTCCTCCTACTCATTCTCTCTCCCTGCCAGCCCCACCAATCCCTCTAATGTCTAGTTATTGGCCGTTCAGCTTGTTATTAGATCAGATAGGTGCCTTAGGGAGACAAGGTAAAGCAGCAACACATCTTTACATAACTAGACAAATTCACCATAAACAAAGGCAACATACCTTTACATAGTTAAAGTAATATTCTGCAACCTAAACAAACGTAACACATCTTTACATAGTTAAAGTAATATTCCATAACAAAGAAGTCATCTAGTCAGTCTGGCTAAAGGGGTAGTTTCCCCATGCTCGCTCAGCCTGGAGTCTATCAGGCCCCACAGCCAGCTGGCTAGGCTTCACACTTGCTAGAGTCCCAGGGCGGCCCTGGGAAGGCCACAGTGTCTAGCTGCCGGCCCCGTTCCTTCTGCAGGGCACAGGGCCCAGCAGCAGTGAACCCCCGGAGAAGGAGCGGCGGCGCCTCAAGGAGAGCTTCGAGAACTACCGCAGGTGTGGGGCGGCGGGCAGGACGACCTGGAAGGGTGGGGCACTGGCGTGTACCTGCTCACACTGCGGGTCCCATAGGAAACGGGCGCTCCGCAAGATGCAGAACAGCTGGCGACAGGACGAGGGGGACCGCGAGAACACCACTGGCAGCGACAATACCGACACCGAGGGCTCCTAGCGGGCCGCACCGAGGCTGAGCATCTGTGTAATTGTGAAGGGATGCTGCATTTTTTTTACTGTATGTTACACATGTGTTGTACAAGTGTTGGAAAATACAGCTAAATAAAATGACCACCAAGCCGAACCTGTTGGGTGGATGTGCACTCGGAGGGACACCAGGGGGCGACAGAGCGCAGCGCGCCCGGCGGCAACGGAAGCCGAAGAGGGCCGCTTCCGGCCGCAGCGCCTAGTTCCAACTCTGTAGCACGGGGTGGCAAAAGGGTTCGGCCGAGGACCGCAGACGGGATGTTGCGGACAACACTGAGCCGTGTGCCTGCACTACTGCGTAGTGTGCGGACCCGGAATCTCGGGCCGGGGCGACTTTGGGATGCCGGGACTCGCCTGACGACCGCGGAGAGCCGGCGGGGCTGGCCCTGGGGCTGGCGGAGTTCGAGCTCCGCGCCAGAACCCAAGCCTAAGGCCACGCTGGGGCGCGTGGAGTCGAGCCATTACCAGCTCGACTACACCTGCAAGGTAGGCGCGGCCGAGAGAACCTGGCGCTGGTTCAATTCCTGAAGGAGCGTGGTTCTCAGAGAAGGGACTGGAAGTAACCTTCGGGCCTGGAAGGGGCCGGGGTCTTCTGCGGAAGGACTGGGAAGGGATGGAGGGACAGAAGCTTCCAGGGATGGGTAAGGTTACCTGGGGACAGGCGTTCTGGGTAGGAAGTAACTGGGATCTCTCCTAGGTAGGACCATCTGGGAGAGAGTTGGGGTTGTCCCTCAGGTTGGTAAGCCCTCGGGAGGGGGCTTTCTTGTGTGTACCTGGCCTGACCACCTCTCCAACCCAACTAGGTCTGTGGGACTCGGTCATCCCATCACATATCAAAGTTGGCCTATCACAAAACTGTGGTCCTCGTTAAGTGCCCTGGTTGCCAGAACAACCACGTCATCGCCGACAACCTAGGCTGGTTCTCTGACTTGCAGGGGAAGAGGTAAGGCCAGCTGGGTGGGATAGGAGGCAGCAGGATTGTGTGTTATGGATTAAGTAAAATGCTGCGGATCCCTGGCGGCTGCAGCAGCAGAAACGCTGCAGGTCCCCGAGCAGAGGCAGTGGGCAGCAGGTCCCAAGAGCAGCCAGGGGAGGGAGGGGGAAAGGGGAGAAGTGTGGAAAAGTGGGGAGAGACAGAAGATGCTTCTTTGAGAAGGAGACGGAAAAAGGAAGAGACTCAGGCTGCAAGCAGGAAGGAAGATGAAGATCTGCCTGCCTCAGCCGACTGGAGAGGGAGTGGGCGTGGCTTGTCTCTTAAAGGGACAGGATAGATCATTACATTGTGGCCCTTCAGGAGCCTTGCCTGGCTTCACTAGACAGCCCAGCTTCCATGTGGATCTAGAAACTTGAATTTGAACTTTAGATAAACCATGAATAACCCCCAAATGTGGCAAGCTATATCTCTAGTTCCGTGGCTCCACCTCTGCCACTGCCTGCCTGACCTCTGATCTCTCCAATGGCCTTTTTACTTTCTTTCTTTAAAGATTTATTTATTTTATGTTTGAGTGCTCTATCTGTATGTACAACTTTATGCCAGAAGAGGGCATCAGATCCCACTATAAGACAGTTGTGAGCCCTGTGGTAGTTGGGAATTGAACTTAGGACCTCTGGAAATGCAGTCAGTGCACCTAACTATTGATCCATCTGTCCAGACTTCCTTTTTCACTTTTTTTTTTCATTTTT